TTCAATAAGCGTGAATAAATTTTAGATATTGATACGTTGCATAATATTTCATATTCTGTAACAGTAAATCACTGCAACAGTGTTATTACTTTCTAAGACTATACGTTGACTTTGAAATAAAGCATCCTTATCAGTGGTTATTCTATTTTTAAAACTGCACAAACCGCGGAAGATTATATATGTACATAAAAAATGAGCATCATTCCTAACGATATATATCCCTATCTTCTATTTATCAAAGCTTCACGATAATTAACATGGAACGACATTCTTCATAAACAAAAATAATTAACGTGTGCGTGGCAAATAAATCAACCGATAGAGTTATTTTCAGAATGAAATCGTCGAAATCAGTATGCAAGACGAGAAATCATCTAATCACCGTCGCACTATCGAACACCTGCCGTAACGCCTTTTCGATCCTGACGATCGAGAAATCCGACGTGTGCGCGCGAAGCTGCCGCGAGCGCAGCGCGTCTATGCGCATTCCGGCGTGCCCCTCATCTCATCACGGTTAATCATCGCACGCCGGCGTGCGTCGGGACGAGCGTTAATTGTCATTCGGCGAGACTCGTAGATCATTAGCTCCTTTCAAGCCCGGTCGCGGTAACGTCACGACGGCCGACGGCAAAGCGGGGGACATCAATACCCGCGCGCCCGGCCGGATCGAAAAGTGCAAGCTGTAAAGCGGCGAGCCAAGGGTCGTTAAACGTGGTCGACCGCGAGATCATTCCGCGTCTCGTCGCGACTCACTCCCGAGACCCTGCTTCTCCAAGCGATAGCATGAGAGAGAGTGAGAGAGAGGGAAAGCGAGAGAGCTCGTACTCTCCACCTATACCGAGATCTCGATTGGATCTACACTGTCAAAACGCGATTTCGCGCGACTGGCAGAGGGATAAATAATTTAGTCGTTGATACTTAATGTCCTGCAACTCTTGACATTACAGAAACGTTTCCCCGCGCTCGGTGGCGATCTACGTCACTTAGCGGTAGAATAAAAACAGATAGATTTGCATAAGTATTTCGCGGACGAATACGAATACGCCCTGCAAACTATATTTATTTTATACGATATTGAATAATTTATTTAAGTGGATTTCGTGCAAGCTTTGATTAATATTTGTCGCACGAGCGTCGCGTTTAATGATACCGCGTGTAAACGTTGTAGTAACAAAATTATTTTAGTTCTTTTATACATTGACGAAATTTTCTGCCGGCAACGACGATTGATCGCGATTATAACAATAATTACGCGACTCAATGAATAAAAAAGCTCGAGGAGACATGAAAATGGTAGACTACTTTACGCGAGCACTTGAGGATTTTCAGGTAGCAGAGCGTGGAATGAAATACCAACGAAATTTACTGCCTCAGAGCTATCCGGACAACCGAGGCGGCGCGGCGTGCAGAACGCGACGGGGATCTGAGAAACGAGCTGCGTTTAGTCTCGTTGAAACGATGCGACTCCGCGCGCTACCTTCTCGGCACACAAAAGCGGAATATCTCACAGGCGACCTGCATCCCGTCGAGCGCGAAAGGCGGAAGTTTAAGCACGATGCATTAATTTGCGCCAATTAGGACACCGGCAGTAAACTGCGAGCGCGTATACTCGCTACGTCGCGCTAATTCGAATCGGATACGCGAGTTAATCGTTTTTAATTCCCCGACACACTCTGTCGTGCTCCGACGAGTAACACCGCTGAATCAGATTTCCATGCGCGTATTAAACAATATAATTTGATTTTTTTTTCCGCGTAAATTTGAAACTTCAATTATTCTGTGGCCTCAGAACGAGACTACTTATTGAAGCTAATTTATATTGAACGATATTTTATTGTTTCAAATTTAATTGATTAGACAAGGTTTGCGCAAAACACAAAACGTGAATCAATTTGACAGAATAGCCACAAGAGAAGGGACGCGGAATTAGTAAATAATTGAGTCTAAGATTTTTCTCCGCCCAGTCCTTTTTTTCCCGTTCACCGCCGACGCTTCAGGCACGACAAAGGGCTTTTCACGAAATCTCCGAGGTACGCTTTCTTTGTTAAGCACTCGAGGAGACATCTGTTATTTTCCGAAATTGTATCACTTTCAATGAGCGAAGCGCGTTCGTTTCTCTCCCTTCGTCTAAAAATAATGGCAACTATCTCGTATGCTTCTCGAATAAAACATGCAAGCTAAAACGGTGCAGAGAAGTTCAAACATTGTAAAATATGATTCCTGCAACTATATAAAAGCATTTTTGATGAAAAGTAATTTAGCGTGTCTTTCATAATGTCCTTTTCTGCTCACGAACGAGACAATAAGAACGTTGCAATATACACATGCACTTCTTATTTCTCTTTATCTATCTCGTTGAAATTGGAATATTAATAATTACGAGCGCACGAAACAGAAGAAATATTAAAACTATAATGTTGAAACTTAAGTAAAATAGTAACATCTATCTAACTGCGAATATTTAGTTATACAATAAAAGTGTAGAATGCAATCACAATTATGGAAAAGAAGTCCACTGAAAGCCTCTTTCGTCTTTCACTTTATCTGAAATGTAGTCATCGCACAATTTTCATCATCAAGTTATACAAATCAAATAGAACGAGATTGAAACGTGAATAGGATATCTGTTGCGCATTAGAGAATCGAAGTTGCAATAAAAGGCGTCGCGGTAATGCTTCGCGCACTTTCGTTAAACAAGCCCGACGCATTCCGCTTGTGATCGACAGCTTTTTTCGCGATCATAATGAGGTACTCGAGCGTTAACAACGCCATTGTGCCACGCGCAATTTGTAGCTAACCTTCGCCCGCCGTGCTCTGCCTGTCCAAGTTATTACATCTATTTCGGTTTATTACAGTTTTCTATAGATAATAAAAGATGATTCTCGCAGAGAAAATTCGCTTCTCTGTCAGTTCCAGATGAGATATTTCTGCTCTTATTAGATAAAAGGGAGGAGAATCTCGTAATCTGATAAATTAGAATGAAATGCTTAAACCGACGACAGTTTTGCTTAAACTCACAAAATATATTGCATGAAAATTAATAATTCTTTATCAGAAACGTATTCTAATTGCAAGAATACATAATTTATTAAATTTATTATGTTCTTAAATACTCTCAAAACATATATTATTTGAAATTAATAATAGTTTAATTCTTTTTCTTAAAAGAATATTGTTATCATACTGATCAATTATTAAATATCAAGAATGAAAGGCTATTCGCATCATTTGTATTGTTCCGAAAATGAGAAAAGATACAATTCATTCATTAGAAACAGAAATACAATTTAGGCAAAAAGTATTGTGAAAAAGTCAATTCTCCTCTCTACGATAATAACACAAACACTACGACAAACACTCGATTTTTCGGAGTAAACACGATGATTAGTTAACTAAATATAAACTTAAGCTTTAAAGAGCCCTATAAACTCTAGTAGTTCTAAACTCCAAACTAAACAGTGACTTAGCAGTAACGTAAGCTGTTGTAGCTTTATTCTTAATGCTTTACATGTGTTTAGAAAGGGCTCGTGTTTGTAAGCAAGAGATTCTCGAACTCTTAGTGTCGAATAAATGTGTCAGACGTCCCGTTGGGCGAATCGTCTTTTCATCGCGAAACTGAATGCGAACGTACCGTGTCGAGAATGGCCGTGGTCAGGCCGGATCCAGCCACCAGCTGAAAGCACAATCCGCGACGGCGTTGCTCCGTTCACAGCACTTTCTTGGCGCGGCTTCCGTTGATCGGAGCCTCCACGCTCCTCAGTTCGCCGGTTGAGGAACCTCGAGAAATCAGCTGCCGACGAGTGAGTACGCCGCGACTCAATTGCCGCGATCTCACTGACACACTGTATAATTAAATATAATCGCACAGTTTAACGAGAGTACATCGAACCTCGCCACCTCGGGGAATCCACACTGTTTGGCAATTGATTTAACGCGGATTGATGCGCTGTCAACTTTCTTCGGTTTAGCGCGATATACCGCGTTGATGTCGACGGATCCGAGACCGGGACACGGATCCTCGGATGACGGAAGATCGGGCCAGCGTCAGGAATGCTCGCGAGATTATCTGTCAGGTTGCGATGAGGGCGCGAACGACGTTATCAATACGCCGTACACCGCGTTACAAAGGAGGCAAGAATATCCAGGACTCAGCTGCGCGGTGTCTCTCACAGCGGTGTCTCTCGGCACGGGCGTGGATGCGCGGCTTCTCGCGGTTTATCGGCGTTTATCGCGCCTGGCTGGCTGCGGACGAGCTCTGCCTGCGAGCAACCGGAATGCAGTTGAACGCGCGGCGTCGGTGGAGAGGAAAGAAGCACGTGCCCGACTCCCAAAACAGGGGTGCAGTGACGCGTCGCTGCTGCGGTGCGCGGCGCCCGATTGACCACCAGAGTCTGCCTTCCCGCATGCGGAGATCCCTGCCGCACGATTTTGGCGTGCCCCCACCCCTAAGCGCGTTCCCTACACATCGTATACACCATCTCCCTTCGGTTGGCGTTGCCCCCTGCTCTCCCCTGCCGCTCCTCTCTCGCCGTCTCCGTTCCTCATTCTTTTCTCCCCCCGTTCTCGCTCTCGCTCACTCCTTCGGCCGGCGCGAGCGGAGTCGACCAGGCAGTTGCCTTGCCTCCGGGCAACGTTGCCCCTGACGAGGCTTCTCGGCCAGGACCAGTGCGGCATAGCGTGTATCTGGGTGGAGCCATGCCGGCGATGGCGTGGCGGTGGCCCGTCGCGCTCGCCGACCGTCGACGGTGGGGATAAACCGCAATTGTGCCGCGCGGCGCGGCATCGCGCAACTCCGCGCGGCGCCCCGAAGAAGGCTTCGGCGGCCTCGCCACCGATCGCTGTTGCCGGACGGGGGCGGCGCTTGCCGTGGGCGGTGTTCCGTGCCCCGTTCGGAACGGAGAACCCCGACGACGCCATTGTTTTCGGCGCGCGACGCGGAAGGCACGGCGCGCGTGCGAGATCCACGCCGACGCCCGGCGTCGCGACGCCACTCTCGCACGCAACGCCGGCCGTCGCCGACGCCGTCGTCGTCGTCGTCGTTCGCCCGTCGTCGTTCAACGAGACTCGTCTCTTTCCCTGTCTCTGCCCGCCGCCGAGCTGCTCCCCGCGGATCTTTTCACGTCGCCGAGGTAAGTTTGTCACTGTGTGCACGCGTGAGTGTGTGAAAAATAATACAAAATTGCGACACTGGTTGAGTCTCGCGTGGATTTTCTCTCTTTCCGCGCCTTCGATTCAGTAGTCCTTCTCTACTTTTCTTCCGTCAGAATAATTCTTCATAACGCGACAGTAACGTGAAACATAATTTTTCAAGTTTTTTAATAAGAACTAGAGAGCGCTAATTAGACCCCAAAGTATCCTTGTAATTCATTAATCAGTCCTAATTAAAATATATTGATCGGCATAGTTTACTGTATCGTAGTTTATTCTAGTCCTTATTATGAATGTCGTTTATTATATCTAATAAAAATTGATTCTTTTGCTGGTCCTCTAATTGCGTGCATCATTCTCTACTCACTCTACTGCGAGTTATTTAAATCAATGATTAATTGTTACTGGCCTTTTTAGTTAAGATTTACGTGCGTGAAATCAGTTTTTCTATCTTCATAGTGTCAATCTTCGTCCCTTCACTTCTTTGGCATTATAAGATAATGGGATAGGTTTTAATTTATCGATTACGCGTAATTTTCTTTGCGAGCTTCCATGCGTAGTAGTTCGCACGGCGGACGAGAACGGTCCGACACGGATGGACGATAGAGTTTGACATCCCGACGTCGCTTTCACACACAGTGTCCATCACGACCGTCGTAATCCACCTTTCGATTTATCTGCCTTCGACAACCCATCAATTTTATTTTATTTGATTTTTTTCCTCGAGTCCGTCTGCATGCGCAATCGCATATACATGCGCGAGCAGCGTGTCGGTACATTTTGTCCAACCCTTCTTTGTCGCACCCCTTTTCTCGAATCCCCCCCCCTGCCTTTATTTTATCTTTCACGTTTTCTCGGCCCACCACACATGAGCGCGGGTTGACATAAGAGGGACGCCACGGGATTCCGCTAAAAGAGCCCACTCTAATGAGAGATAATGGCGGCCGCGAGTAAAAACCGGCGTTTGCTCTTTCTTTGAGAATTAGCGAGCGTTTTAAAGCGATTACTTCGCATACAAGGCAAGTCGCACGAAACGGCGTATTAACGTGGAATTAGAGCGAATGTATTTTCGAAATATGTATATATCTGACAAATCACGTTTGCTGATGGTTGTTGACGCTAAAAAAGATGCGGTGTTTCCTTTATAACTTATTTAGTGGTGTTTATTGTGCAATTTACAGTACTGTAAGAATTATAGTTTGCAGTTGAAACATTTGTAAAAGATAAAGTTGCAGGAATTAAAAGGATCATATGGAAGAAATGCTTCGCTCTGATTATGTTTATATATAAAAATGAAGCACATATATTAAGATAAATGGAATCCTTTTTAACGGTCCAGTTTTGATAAATGGAATTTATCAAATTAAATGCATTTTTTGGCGCAAAACGATTTTTATAAAGGATTAAAAGAGAAACATCTTTATGAAATCCGTAATTCGTCGTTAAGGGAATTGACACAAGTGCTAAGTAATCGAGAGGCCAACCCCTTCGCTTAAAATAAATAGCGTAAGAGAGTCGAGATTCCTTTGCCCGGCCGGATGGAACAGGTGGGTCCAATTAAGCGCCAATTACCTGCGTACCTAGCCTCTTTCTCGCTGGTGCCGGCAATCGGCGCGATTAACGACGCGCTCGGGAGAAATAACGCGGCAAAAAAAAAAAAACGCAACGTAGATACAATGTGAGCCGTCGAGAAAGTTGCGCGGATGCATCCAGCCGACGCGGATGCGTAAATTATTTCGATCATTCGTCGCAGCGTATGAAGTCCGTCGCCCGCGAAAAACTCGTCGGCTACCAATTATTTTTATATTCGAAAAGCGCATATATGCCTGTCAATTATTCGCACCAATCATAACTTCGCGTTAGCGGTATTGTGCGATGAGAAATTGATTTTACAATACGATTTGTTCCACGCTGTTCTCTGCCATTAGTATAATGTGCGAGTGAAAAATAGAAAACTGTGTCGGCTTGACATAATTGTCGTAATAACAGAATTAGAAATCATACAAAATATTTTTTCTTTTAATGCGCAATTGTTTTCTACTTAAAAAAAAGACTCGAAATATATCTTCGTGGATTTCTTCTTTTTCCGCATAATGACAAGGCGAGAATAAAACTTGAAGTCAATTTATTTGTAAAACAGACTTCAGTGTATTGTATTGTATCAAGTAATGAATGTTCGATTAAAGCGAACATTCGCGTGACTTCATCGCGAGTATGTACACAAGAAGTGTCAAGAGGGATCTAAGTATCCACAAAGTACAAATGATCTCTCGCTATCGACACTAAATAATGTGCATCCGATCGATACGCAATTAATCGGCCAGACGTGCTTAGAAGACGAAAATCGACGAACACGTCGACGCGCGCACGGATTGTTTGACGAAAATTTGATGAGACTTGTGAATGGTCTTCGGAACATCCGAAAGGGAGAGGATTATAGTTAACAGAGGATGATAATAGAGTCGATTTGGCGAAAAGTTACGAAATGGAAGTGCAGGAATTGAAATAAGCGGACGATTGACAGATTGTCAGATTAGCGAAAGAAATGAGATCATTAGAGAAAAGAAAAATGACCAAACTCTCCGGCGAGGAAGATTATCTTCTTATTCGTTGGTCAATCTTGCCTCCTCGCGCGTCTGTTTTTATTTTGAAACTGGCGCAAGCCAAATCCCGAAGACTCAAGTTGCGAAGATTCTTAGCTTTGCTACCGCCGAATTAGCTTATCCGCTTGTACCAATATTTTGCTTAAATTCGTTATACTTGAAAACTTGATTCGCACCGTTTACAAGATAAATACATTACGTTTCAGCGGGAAGCGCGGGATTTCTCGAGATATCTCTTCGACGCTGATACACGCTCTCTTCCGAGCCGCCTCGCGGAGTTTCAGAAACGGTGCCGCATTCGGCGAGTGAATGCGGCGAGCGAACGAGAGCCGTCAGGATAATAACGTCTTTATGCGCTGCAGCCTCTCCGCGCTAATATTGCCCTCCAGCTAGGCAGCGCTCTCGGCTGATAGCCGTGAAACACGCGGCAGCAAGTTGTTGTCCAAGTTCGGTAGCGCGTCTTTCGACACGGCCTTCGTGTACCTTTCGGCTTTAGCCGACGCGTACAATTGGATTTATCAAGTCGGCGTCGAAACGCGACGAATCCCATATGCCGCGCTTGTCCGCGATACGTTGACATTTCGGATTAATTATCTCGGTGCAGAACTAAATTAATCAATAGCTACATAGGTTTTCTTATTGGAACATCGTACCGCTTACTCGCCATATCTCTTTCGCATTATCGATTTTTCGCAGTATCGTTCGCAAACTTGTATTACGCTTCGCTTATAGTTCGACCTATTATTGTATCGAATATTCCGCAAAACAACCCGACGCTTAGCGGTATTTTTAATCGAACCGATTTCATGCGCAACGGTGTTATTCGAACGTTTAACACGAATAGAATACTATCGGGGCCGCATTGTTGGCAGCATTTTCATCCGAAGCATTTGCAATTCCTCTTTATTGCCTTTCGGCTTATCCGGATTGCGCCTCGCGCATTTACGAGTTGTATTTCATCCTGATAATCGCCATTAAGTTAACGAACTGCAATACGGGCATTTGAACGCATGGAACACGCGGATTAACGTACATTAATAAAATTATCCGTGTGAACAATGGATTATGCGCTCGCGGGCTTTAAATGTCTCGTACCGCGACAAAAAGAGACCGGCGCAATGTGATTATCGGAACAAAAAAAAATAACGCGGGACAAAGATACGCCGCGGAGAATAATAATTACAATTTGTGAGTAATTGATTTAGCCATGTACGTATAATAACAACGGGGAGGGTAGCAATCGAGCGATTTGCTATATAAATGCGATATCGGCTTCTACTGCACTCATCATTTAAAAAAAAAATGTATATATATTGGGGATATATAAACTACAATACATGTAAATTGCACATATTCAGCAACATTTCCTCTAAAACGGAAGCGAATAAGCAGGGCATTTGAATATCCCAGCAGTATCCAATTGGCTATTCGTGTCCCACATGTGCACGAGAAGGAGTATAAAGCGCGTCTCGATATATCGGCACTCTTTAAAGGGCCAAACTTTGTCGAAACATAGTTACCCTCGCGAAACTTGCGCCGTAACGTATCGGATTACTCCTCGCATTTGCCCTTTTCTGCGAGCTGCGCCTCGCTACGCGGAAGCGCGTCCGGGGGCGCCCGTATCCCGTAAACGGCGTTAGGTGAATTTTATTATTCTCTGATTTCAGGCTTCGGCGCCCGGCGACGAAGGACGACGCGGGCGCGGCAGCAAGTGCATCTCTTTTGCGACGAATGCGTTGCCCGACATCGCGGTGTAATCAGACACCGGTACGAGGGGGATGGGAGCGCGGGAGGGAGAGACGCAGAGACTGAGGGACGTAAACGTAATTGGAAACATCCGAGAGGGAGATTCGCCACACGCTTCTGATCCGCGCCGCGCGCGGTTCGCCTGTTTCCATTCTCCCTTCGGGCCGTTCGCCGCAACGTAACGCAAGCGCCATATCTCCGCTTTTTCTCGCGTCCTATCTGCTAACTTTCGCGTCTCTCGGCCGGACAACGGACAATTCACGGGAATGTATCATTTCCCTGGGAAAAATATTATCTCACGATGCTATCGACTATTAAAAAAAAAAGATCCTCGATGATGAAAATCCTAATAAATGCTGGAAAATCGCGTTCGACATTATCGCCGGTTAAAAACGATCGCAATTAATTAGTGCTAAAAGCGAGACACGGAATACGCGCTATAATTACGCGGTTTTCCGGTTATTATTAATGTGTTTATCTTTTTTATGCGACTTCAAAGATATTTTATATTTACGCGAGAGACATCATCTTACGAAACGTGGCTGCGGAGAGAAAAGCGCGCTTTCTTTGTGACGACGTTTACAATTACGTACGTGCGGCTTTGTAAATGGCAGGGCGCGCGCGCCACGCATGATTAAGCAGAGCCCGGCGATAATGCGCTGCGTGCGGCTCTCCGGCGTAAAGAAGGTGTAAATACCTCCCGATGATTCCTCGTAGGATCGAAGCGGATCGCGCAAAGGGAGCCGACACGGAGGCGGCTCCTTTCTCGTCGATAGTTTCAATGGAGAGTTTTTCTCATAGAGCCAGTCGCCCCCCTACTCTACCTCTCTCTTTCTCTCTCTCTTTTGCTCTCGCTCTTTTCTGCCGTTCCCCTTCGTGCCGATGTACGCGTGTACACGGAGAACGATAAAAAAGACGAGATCTCAAAAGGTACGCGGAGCACCGCCTCTGATGAATGCCGCAACCAGTTGGCCACCATGTTTTCCCTCCGCCGGTGTATGTACGCCCTACTCTCCGAAACATCCCCTGTGCCGCGTCCCTCCGTGTGCCGACTTTCCAACCCCTCGCAAAACCGCGATTGAACCCTTGTACATCCAGCGCGTATACTGCGTACTGCGGCGTCCAGAGGTGATTTTACGTGCGCTTTGTGAGCGGCGGGATCGCGGGATGGGTAACTTTTACAGTTATCGAGCAACGCTACAGAAAATGTACACTGACAAATTGGATTGCCATCAATGATTTTAAAGCGGGGACGAAAGATCAGCAGCGTGCATCGTGAAAAGCTGCATTTGTATATGTGATATATAACGTGATTGATAAAAATTAAAATTTTTCAATAGAAGAAAGAAGATAGAAATTGATCATCGTCCGAAAAAAGAGAAAAAGAAGAAAAATGAAAATCAAAAAGTAATATTTTAAATAAAGTAATGCTTTGAATGGTAATGCTTGAAATGAAAATGATCCGGACAATAAGATAACAATAATCAGTATTCTTCAAGTGATGACTTCGATCACAAAATAATAATATTATATCATCGCGTTTAATTGAAACAAAAAATTCTGTCTGCGAAAAAAAGCGCTCTTCGATTCCATTGGTTCATAATACGTCGTGGTGAATCTGGCGCGTACACGTAGAAGAAGGCAAGAAGGATGAAAGAAGAGAAGCAGAAGACGAAGGAAGAAAAAAAAAGGATAACGCGGGCAGAGCAAGAAAGAGAAAGCTGGCCGATAAACAAACTGCCAAGGATCGCGGCACTTTAATCTTCCTTTGAAGGCATCGGCCGCTCTTTGCGGCATTGAATGAAAAGAGAACAGGAGCGGGAGAGGGGTCCCGAACCCACCCCATATCTCTCCCTCTTCCGCGCATTCTACCCCGCGACTCATTATGGCAACATGCGGTAAGTATGCTCGTGCTTAAGTCTCGGCGTACCCTTCGGGCGAGGGGTGCCCCAAACAGCATCGGTATTAGTTACATGTATATAGAGCGCGTATACAGAGCGCCGGTCGCAAAAAGCGGTGGTCGAGGGCCCCGGTACGCGACGGAGGTACCGCGTTACGGCACTGTCGAAAACCGTCGGTGGCCGGGGACAGGGTGGAGGGTGGAGGAGAGAGAGCATCCCTTATTTCGCGGCGGCTCGTTGCATGGATCGGCGCATCCGAATAGTCTCTCCACTCCCTTGATCCGGGGGTTCCAGGTGGTTCCTTTGCCCCCCTCCCGCCTTCCGGACATACTCTTAAAAATTAGGTATCGTGGATACCAAAGCCGATGGTACGCGTTTCACAGCTGCAACGGGATAGAAACGGCCAGCAAGCCGCGCGTGTCTCCACCTTTGTCCTTCTTTTGCTTTAGTCATTGTATTCATTGTATTTTCTTAATTCTGGCAGTTTAGCTATGAATCTAAACCGTAGAAATGTATTTAAGATTATGTTCAACTCGATTCAATATATATCTAAAATGACTTTTCATAAAACACAATCTAAAGGAATTAATGAATAGTAAATTATTTACATTACGTAATTATAGCTTATAGAAACTTTAAAAAGATATTTAAAAAGTATCTCATAAAATATCAAGCAGTTCATAAAAAGAATCGCATAAACCCGAAGTCGGATTATATTTTCGTTTATTACTGACTTTACAAAAACGAAACATAAACGAGAGAGCTTTCGCAAGCTCAGCCTTTTGCAGTTGGAATATGTTGACGAAAGCCCATAACTTTTTCTGCAGAACTTTCGTCGAAACTTGCAGTTCTGCAACTCGAAATAAATCTTTGTACATCTCAATATCTTTATAACCGAATAATTCCTGCGGAAAAATACTTGTTCGTGAAACATTTCTACTAAACAAACTGAATTGTAAACCGAACGGGGTCCGCATTTAGCCACACAAATGTAGGATGCGTGTGAATTCCATTCTGTCGGTCTCGCTACTTCGAGTAACAATTTAGCGCTTAAGTTCTCAGAGAGTGCGATCAGGTAAGGGAAGAAGGAGAGCCGCAGAGCAGCGTGGTACCAGGACCCGAAGATAATCCCGACGGTGATGGCGACCGGTGCCGACGTGATGGGACTTACCCCACCCCTCGCGCGGAGTGCCAACCCCTCGAGTAAGAGGCAACGATACCGCCGAGGTCTGAAAGGCCGCTGCGAATAACGCGCTTACGCGCGATCATCCGACCGCGAGTCTCGATGCCCGTGACAGATCGTGCCGCGGCCGGCGTCCTTGTGAATATCGCGGGGACTAAAGCCCGTACTAAAGAGCGAAAAGGGGCGGAGGGAGGGCACTAAGTCTTTCGTGGATGGCCGGGCGCGCGCACACCGCCGGCGCGACAATACGGTGTAGATTACTTTTCAGAATGGGCGGCGTGACGTAAACACGCTCCGGCGGTTTTTTCTTCGCGAACAATGCTGTGTTTGCCGACACAATTTGTCTCGGATTTAGGTGCATCGGCAGAAATGCGTGCGCCTATATAGATGCCTAGATGTTGAGCGATGCGCATCAAGCTTCGAAAATCTGCACTCACGGTCGCTTATATTGGCGAACGTTAAACTTTTTCCTGACGCATTGTTGAAATAAATAACGCGTAAAAATAATTAGCATTGTGTTGATTACCCATTGTTGTTGATTAAAGAATTCAACGAACTAGATAATATTTTTCGCTGTGGAATATATAAATAATTATCTGGCTGTTGTGTATAATGTATATTTTTTAATTCTTTTTAGTTTCATCGTTTCTAGGTACTGAGCTATATTCTACTATAGCATAGCCTCTTAGAAATGCAGCCGTAGTTGAGCCGGTTTGGTAGCTGAGAGAGCTCATTATACTATGAGTAATATTACCTCACGCGGTATAATATTAACGCGGGCGTCTCAAGAACTTGGAAAAGGGTCGAGCAACGCGTCGCGATCGAGATTGATTTGATCTACCGCCGACAGGGTGGCAGGCGAAATGATATGCCCTGAATATTGGGGTCTGATGAAGGCTTCTCAAATGTCGTGTTGGACTTGGACAGCGAGCAACCAGAAAGGAAGAAAAAGAGGGAAAAGGAAACAAAGAAGGTAGAGAGAGAGAGAGAGAGAGAGAGAGAGAGAGAGAGAGAGAGAGAAAGATAGAGACTTGATTGAAATAGAATAGGAGACTAAGCGAGAAGGACGCATTCCTAGACGGCTTACCGGGATAGACACACCGCGTCGGCCGTCGCACGTTTTCTCATACCCAAAGGTAGCGGATTTGTTTCTTCTTCTTATCCGATCTCTTGGAGCAAGAGCTCCTTGCTTGCAGATTGCGACCCTGCCGTACAAAGGCACTCCGAAGACGCAACGTCTCTAGTGTCATCTTCGAAGAACTCGGAATTATGTGATACTGTTGCTTCTTTCTTTCCAATGAACTTGCCAGGCAGCTAAAATATAACTTTATACAAAAAATGAATCGATCAACAATAATCCTTGTATACTTTTTATATTCTTACGTTAAATACTCCTAGCATGATGAATATCTTATTGTTATTTGTAGAAATGTGCAATACCAATAAAAATCTCATTTTTGAGACACAGGTAATTCTTTATGATTTATGCGTAAGAAATAACGATCCCGAATGTTCATTGTCGAATCATTATCTCTTTTATTGTCCGTTAAAATGATCGGAGTGACGCGCCTATAAAACATAACACTTATCCGAATTCTTAACGTTAAGTGGGTGAGTACGCCGATATTTATGGAGTACTGATTACATCGTATAATAGCAAGTCGAATCACTGGGCGCGCTCCCCCAATGCATAGATCTCCCTCTTCCATTATAGGGAGCCAGCCGAGTGTGAAGTATTATCATACAAATATAATCCTCCCTCGACTCCGTCCGGAGAGAAATAATATTTGTCTCGATCGTACGACCAATTATCTCAACTTGTGCGATATGCCAACGCGCATATATGCATACATAGGGTGTACCCGTATTCTTCCTCCTTCGTTACGATTCTCGATATGTACAGGCGAATAAACATCTTTGTTCCTTTATACGCACAGATGTATTCAGCCTTTATGCTCTTATTAAGGATCCTAATTTTATTACAGTGTATATGTTTTATACAAAATGTTAAGATCGAAGTGGATTACGCCTTTTCGAAATAAATAGTAGAGAATACTTTTGCAATATAAAGTTTGAAATTTTTGTTAAAATTTTGAATATTATTTTTAAAGAAAGAGAGAGCATCAGTATGTATATTTTTTTACATATTTTATTTATAAAAAAAGGTGTTAATTTGAATTAATATAAAAGGAAAAAGATATTTTGTGATATCGGTCCGATTATAAAACTGTATGCAAAATTCTTTATTAGATTTATTTATTCCCTATGTTGAAATATTTTCCACATGATGAAGATAAACGATAACCAAATAAAGGATGACTTGAAAGTAGAAAGAATCTCACAGAGCGCACACACTTGATCGCGGTGTATGACTGACGACAACAGTGCGGCCGTTTGTACTTTCCAACCCTCCGCGAAACAGTTGGACTTCTGATCGGTCATTACGGGATCGTGACGTTTGTAATACATGCTACGAAATCAATCCGACAACGATTCGCCTTTTCCGTAACTCCACGATTGATGAAGCCGCTCGTGAGAATCTTCCGTATCAATCTCTGTGCGGTCGTCCCGTTTATCGAGCCGCGTCCCTTAATCTCACTAGATTTTGGATAGTAACGAATGTCCGAGGTAGAATCGATGACCCCGGGATTTCTTTCTTCGTAGACATCTGTCTCGGGATTTGTTTTCGTAACGGAATCTCAGCTTAATATCCCTCCCGTAATTTCCTCTATCAGCTATTGTTATCGTAAAATAATACTTCGAAGTAAAATTAAAATAATTAACCTGAAAGGTTTAGAATGTTATTTTTTTTTATTTCAATTGGCAAATGTTGTAAAGTTCCTATAAAAATGAAATATTATACAATTTGATATTGTAATGTTGAGGAATAATTAATTTAGCTAAAAATTTTATTTTTTTTATATGGAAAAATAGCATCGCAATAAATACAAATCTAAATTTTATCTGAATTTTATTGAAATGACGCGGAGAGATGTCAGGCTGTTATTATATTATATAATATCTAAACACAAAGCATCTCGTTCGATTTGCTCACAAACCGCCGCAGTAAGTTGGCGCAGTTTCATCCACATTATAATCATTGTGTGGCAGCGACTAATATAGTAGCATTCAAATTAGATGCCTCGTTTCTTCCTGCGGGGGCTTCTCTCCTGCCGTGACAGATATATCGAGAATTAACATCATCGAAAATGGAAAAAAGAGCGTGGGATATGGTAGCAGGAGGCAAGGACCTCGTTCCCGACTCTCGGCATCGGGCAAAGCATTCCTCATGTCAGAGCATCGCTGTGCATCTAATCCTCGGCGCGGAGGGAGTCGGACGAGGTCAGCGGGGCGCTTCGACGAGAGGCTACTGGTTTCTTGGCCCCGCGCTTCTCGTATGCATCCTCTCTATCCGGACTGTTTGTCCGTGCCCTCGTCAAACTCGGGAGCTCGTGCGCTCGTCCACGGGACGACGTCTCAGCGTGAACTCCAAGTCCGTCTTCAACGTCCGCACGAATTTCAGCGGTGACTTCGCGGGTCGTAGGGAGAGCGCGGAGTGCGACGGAGAGAAAGAGAGGATCTACTTTTTTTCTGACATCACGATAAAAGGTATTAGCTGGATGTGGAATGAGACAGGTCATTTTAAGACCTAAATTGGTATAGAGAAAACCGACCCTGCACAGTTAGCCAATAGTATCATTCGGTTCAAAGGTATTAAATTGTAATATAAGTCAAGGAAAATTTAATCTTTTGTTTTTTTATCACTTTTAATGCAAATTTTTAAAGGAAAAGAAGAGCTGAAGACGATCGAAATGCATGGACGTAAAGTTAAACTTTCGAACGACCTATCTTACTGAAACATTCGTTATAGGTATAATATAGGTCTCGATTTCTATCCACGAATGATATCGCGCGAGTCGATGTGGGCAAAGTCCGCGAAAACGTTACCTCGAAGGTCTCCCGACGAGATATCGGCAAGCGAGATCGTACGCGAGTCCTTTTTATAGTCGCATTCACCGAACACGACAACGAGATCGCTCAGTCCGGTGACAGGGGTGCTGCGTCCGGCCGCGCTCCGGCGTATGACGCGACGTATGCGAGGGAATACGACGACGGAATGGACGAGGAAGCGGGAGGCAGAGGGAGAGGAGGACACACGTTCGAGAGGCAGAAAGGGAAAAGACGGACACGGGAGTAGCGGTGGACAAACGGACCACCCCGCCTGCGAGCGATCATGTCCCGATCACGTAAACTAGCCGCCCCCTCATCCATCATGCCTTCGTCATGCGCTATCACGTGTTCGTTCACCGCCGGTCCCCGCCGGGGCTTCTCTTGTCTACTAGGTCTTTTTTTTCTGCCGCGTCTTCTTTCTCGCGACATCGCAAATGGTGCTGGAGAACGCGCGGAACTGGTTGCACCAACCACTATTCTCAGACACACAACTTTTGTGGAACGAAGCGTATATTTATCACCTGCTCCTGGACGCCTAGGAAGATTTATACGCAAAATTATTTCTGGTTCTTCCACACACAGTGAAGTGAAGAAGCAAGTGCTTCGTTGGCTGTATTAAATATATTTAATAATCGCATTTTATAATATTTGAAAATATAAATAATCCATATAAATAACGTTTAGATAAAGAATTGAAAAATATTACAGAAAATCACCATTTTTTTTAGTAGGAAAAAATTGATACGGAAAAAATTCTGTACTCGTTATTTCGCAATCGAATTTTACAAATTAAGGCCGCGAGCACCGACGTTTGATTAGAAATTGTAATGATACGGTTAACGCGCCTTATTCAGATTGTACGATTCATAATTCTATGTTGCATGCCCGAAGCGGTCTTTCATGCCGCGGATAGCAGCGGTCCGGCGTCCTCTGCTGGACAGTGGATCGCTAATTGCTGATTGATCGTTTCTGAATAACGCAATTAACCGAGCGAGAAGCCTGTGCGATTGCACGAGAATATCAGGCGGATTGCGAAAAGGGTGCTTTAAGCCGACGACTCGAGACAGGAGGCTGCCGCAATAGCCGGCAATAATCAATTCCTATGCATAATCCTTATACGTATATGTCGATAGTTTCGTCACTTTCACACTTATGCAGGCTATCCGTAAATCCATCATTGAAATTGCGTTACGAATAATCGATACCCATAAAAAAATTAACGACAAAACCTTTGAAATCGATGGCGATAAAAGGAGTAAACTTATCGAGTTTCATACATGTTTAATGAATAAACAAATACATATATATATTATTTATATAAGAGATTATATTCAAAACTATTATATATTTAGATTAAATGCACATTATATGATATATATGAGAATTCAAGATCTCTAACGCCCGAATGTTGGAATATTCGGAAATGAATCGGGACTCTCGATAGAGCGCTCTCAGCTGGGGGCGTGAGAGGGTGAGAAACGAAGGGCAGAAAATGAATAAAAGAGGTTCCGGCGGCACGTGCGAGGGCTACCGACCGCAAAAGAGGCGGCTTATATTATTATAACGTGGGCAGGTGGGCGAGACCGTCTATTGGTGGCGCTAACGAGGGATCGGTAATTATTACCCACGACTTAACTCCTAGCTGCTCGTGCAAAGACCTTTTATTGTGGCGACTCACCCTTCTTCGTACGAATTGATCTGGCACGCGGGGGTTTCCTAACACGCCCACGACTATCAATTTAATAACCATTATGACAACCGACCACAAATTGCACTGCTTGATTGTCATGATTCTTACGCTTAAGATTCAAATTTTTAAAAATTATTCGAAAGAATTGAATAAATGTGACATATTTTTTTAAATACACATTTAAATTTTTTAATGAAATATTTTAATCACGTTTCATATTTTTATTTTTTGTTAGGTCTGCAACATGCCTTTTAGTTTTATTTTAACTATTTATTTTCACATTTATTGAGAAGAGTATGTATGTTATACAGTCGATATTTGTTTCACTTTCTACGTTGTTTATATCGCTTACACACAATTATGATAGTATATTATACGACTTCGAGATTTGATGGAGTTGTTGACCCTTGTTAGTGTACCCGCGTG